CGTGAAGTCACAATGGGTAGCCATGATATCGACCAGGTGAAATATTTGATGCTTTATATCTTCTATACTTCCCCTTTTCTTACTTTCCTTCTCACATCCATTCCTATTAGGCTCATGAGTTTCCCATTTTTATGAAGATTTTCATTCTAGATGCGGGATATGCGAGATGCGGGTGGGGCATTGGGCCCCGTTGATGGCCGAAATCCACAATTACATAATCTCACTTGTAGTATGACTTTCGTTGAAGAAGGTGAGATTTTGGAATTATCCGAGAAGTGAGAACTGGTCTCCAAAGGTGAGATTGATTTTGTTTTTAGGAGATATTGTGTTCATCACATCCGATGGAGTGTCGGACAACTTTGATCCAGTGGTTGGGAAGTTTTGTGTAATAAAACGAGCTGAAACAGATAACAAGGAAAATTCGCAGCTACCTCCTAGGGATAATAGAAAGCTATCAGTGTAAGTTTTTGCAGACTATACCCGTCTGTCCTGATTGCTTTCGATTTTAGTAGTTTTGGCTATTAAAGGCAAGATCTGAACATTGTACCTACCAAATGTGTACGATTTAGAGCCACCAAGGATTCACCGTCGAGAGAATTTGCTCGACCTAGGCCATGTGCTGCATCTTTACCATGCGTGGATGCAGCCAGCCGTCATGAACTGATGCTTGTCAGGATGAGGGATATAATCGCAAATGGGATTGATCCTCCTAAGGAAGTGAGTGTTTTTTTAGATTATTCGCATTTTTTGAATAATTTTGCAGATTTTACTGTAATCCAGACGATCCTCATTTTAATGGTTCTGTACCATGTAATTTTTTTTGAAGCAGCATTTTTTGGTGTTAGAAATGCCTTAAGCAAATCCTTTTTTCATCGCTTTGCTCCAAATATGGAGTTTCCAGGTAATGCGTCTCTCACCTCGCCGAGAGCCATTGTTTCCACGAGTGACAGCATCGGTTCTGTCCCATCGCCTTATCCAGTTCGCCACTCACCTCAGCCAGTAAGCTTTTTATCCTAAAAGTTTTTAGTTATGTGGATAAAATCTTATCCCTCTTACCAGGGCCAAGCGACGTACTTTGGAGAATCCGGAACTTTACAAGAAAGAGAAAATGACGAAGTCCGAGCAACGAGCAAGGTGAGAGTCAATCTACTAGTTAATCTATGTGCTGGGTTTACAGGAAAAGTAAGGAAAATTAGGCGAAAGTAGGCAATAGAGTAGGAAGACTCACCCATTTACTTACAGAATGTTTAGTCATGAACGGCCAGTAAAAAAGCAGGTATCTATTGTTATGATTAAATTTTACACGGTGTCTCAAAAGGCTTCGTGCTCCTACTCCTGCCATTAGGGTGCGGTTACTATTGCTGCTCGCAAATAGCTACAATTTGCTGGTAATGATTACACATCATCAGTGGCGGTCGTAGAATTTCAGGAGGAGACTTTGCATATACGCAGCTAGGACACGTTTCTTTTGAACAGCTGAACAAATATTTCTACAAATTTGCTGCTTTTTTGAAAAAAACCAAAATTATTTTGAACATTAATGAGTTAAAATAAATTAAGCTCTTCTTGGCTATCTATGCATACACGATGTGATTTTTATTGTAGAAGGCGGGCTGTGCGGGAAAAGATTGCAGATATGCCTGGCAAGCTGGATCATGCTAGTGTTGTGGCATATACGGTAGGAAGACGTGATGGTAAAACAGGTAAGAAGTTTTTTTTTTTTGATTTGACTCACGTAATTTGAAATCTCAGTTTATCTCTTCTAGTATCACATTTTTGGTAAAAACTCTTCCGATCTTTACTCATCTTCTGTCAAATCATCTAAGAATTACTACATTTTAGAAATGAACTCACCTTTACTCAACGGAATGAATGGTCATGCCCAATGTGAATTTAATTGTAAGTATTGTCGAATGGGTTTTGTTGAGCAGACACTTTAGTCGTATATCTCACGCCACAACCATTTACTAAACCTTTTGTTTTAGTTTTTGGAAATTTTTTTGCTTGCTGTTATCAATTTGTCTTGATTTGGTTCAAAATGAGAGATACAATCTTAATTTAGGCTTACCCGATGACGCTAACGATGAGGATCTGACTGTATGTCGCACAATCAACGTAAATATGGAGAATTTTACAAGAATGGACAAGGCATCGGTTAGTACAAAAAGTTATTTCTTTATTCTCATGTATTTTGGTGCAAAGTAAGGATTCTGATAATAACTAAACTAAGAATATATCTGTTGGAATTATGGATGGCTTTATGAATTTGCCTAATTTCAAAAATGGAAATTTTAAGTTATTAATGTTTTACCTTGAGAACTTTAGATTCTTCTTTGAATTAGTAGCCCTTAGCACTGGTCCTACTGAATAAGAAGTGGGGAAGGGTTGAATATTCATGACTTACAAATCACAGCATGAAAGCATGAGCGTTTTTTTGATGTGGATTACTTTTCCCTGTAGAAACCGAACACGTTAAAATGTCTTCTTCATCCTAAAACCATCTTTTAGTTTTTTGCGATTATTTGTGTCTTTTCCCAATTTTAACTTCTACTTCTTAGCTGGATGTGAATGTTGTGTTTCAGTGTTGTGCTACTTTGACCATGCGTGGCGGTGACAGTATGAAAACGACTTTGAATGTGCGCATACCTTCGCTACAAAACTCGCCGGTTCTACCACCTCAGACTAGAAGATCTCGGCCAGTCACAGATTATCCACTACGGGATATCGTTGAACCGCGGACCCCAGAACGAGAAGAGCGACCGATCAGTCCGTATGAACAGTTGCCTGTAAGTTTGGATATGGATTGAGTCAGAGTTGCAGATTGTTCTCAAAGTCTTCATCAGGGCCTATAAGTTATTAGGCTTTCCGGAAAATTTTATAAGTTCCAAAATTCTGTCTCTCGCTGTAATGAATGGCTACTTTCTCCCATTTTTGGCCAAATATAGTCATAAATGCTGCTCGTGTGGTGATCCAGCAGC